TGTAATAACGACCTTACCCAATTCAATTATTCCTTACTCAAACAAACAATCAAGTGCTTTTGTCTCTCCATTCTGTGCAACTTTTTAATACAAATATGTATATTAGCCAGCTTTTTTTCTTGTTTCACAAAAGGCTAATGTGCACTTAGTAATATTTTTCCCCTTTCCAATAGCTATGCATAATCTTAACATATTACTCTTAAAAATAATCATTATTTTTTTTTTTACTTTTGATGCAAACAGAGAGAGGATTTGCCACAGGGCAACCTGTTAACACACTTCTTCTAAAGTACACAGTGCCATCATACAACTTGGGTTCTGTCTATAGGAGCTGTTTTCCTTTCAACAGATCTTCCAAAGGTGCCACGGGAAGCCAGTAGTGGTTGGTTTTGGTACACATGTGAGGAAGAGCAGCAGCTACCAGTGGAACTGTACTAATGAGAACTATGACAAGAAATTTTAAAAACGAGAATGTGTGTTCAGATTTTGGGAACATCTAGAGACCACAGTGATGAACAAATACACGGTAACAAAACAGCCCCTCTCCCAAAGCCACCTGCAACCCAGCGGCCAAACTCAGAAATTTCTGAATTACGCATATTGAAATCACTACAGAAGATACAAAACTGAGCAGCACTTGACAGCAGAACTGGCTAGAGACAATTGAAGAACACACACGTTTTATCTAAGGCAGTTGTGCATACCTGTTTCTTTTCACCACTAACCTGGGTGACAGCTCCACCGCAGGCGTCTGCTGCGTAACTCCCTGCTCTACTCTCATCATCAGCGTCACGAGCAAAGCCACCCCGAACCCTGCCTTCAACCAGGACTGGAAAAATAGGTCAGGGAAGTAGCATTGTAATCTGATTTAACTGCTTTTCAAATCATCACAGTCTCTCCATTAATTTGAATGAGAACTGGATTGGGCCCAAATTACTGACAACAAAATGGGAGGTTTATTTTAATATCTTCACTGGTTCATTTTAAATCATCCATTCAAAGAACAGAAAATAAGATTTCTCACATGCCTTCAGGTGGCTACAGTGTGACTTAATTTTTTATGTATACTAGCTCAAAACAGACTGTCTGCACTGCAGCTGAAAACTGGAACCGTAACCTGACATAAGGTGACATAAGGTCAACTCCTTACAGTTGCTGAGTGTCATAAAGCAGAGGGACAGCTCAAGAAGAAGTGAGTCCATCACTTGTCTTTGAGTAGACAATCTCCAGGATTTGCTTCTCACAGTGCAGTGCAGAGTCTGCAGTTTCAAAACATCTCACTGAGCTGGAAACCTCAAAGGCCACAGTAAGAAGCAAAAGACTGCCTGAAATTAACTTCCCAAACATCACAGCTCATAGCAGAAATGTTATTTATTTGATAAAAAGCATCAATAACTTCATATTCTGAAAAGAAGAAAAACAGAAAAGGAAAAAAAGAAAAAAAAAAGGTCTGCCAAAGAGGCTTGTTTTGGCAAATAATGAATGCCTAAAGAAATATTGTTTGTATTGTGCAATGAACTTGTAATTAATGTTTGTTTGCTCACCATTTAATAGCAGTTCTGCACTAAGTGATGGGATTTTGCTGCCATTTGTGAATGTGCAGATTTTGAAACTTCATTCCCCATATGGAATAGCTCCCAGGGGGTCATATCATAAAACCATTCAAACGAACAAAAGAAATCACAAGTATCTGTAAAAATGTGGAAAATGAGAAAGCTGTATGTTTTATTTTACATAAGTATTGTTAAATGCCTCAGTTTACTTGTGTGATATTTTCCTGCTTGACTGCATAGAGGTAAATCAAAAGAGGCTTGTGTAGATGAGGAGCATAAAAGAATCAAAAATATAAAACTCCTTTAGATGTGATGAGTGGCCCTTAAATGGAGGAGTCCCCTGTTTCTTTCCAGCCAGCCTGGCAATGTGCATGCCTCTCATGCTTACATCTGAATCCAAAGGGAATCTGACATCCCCAAAACATTGAGACTGGCCAAAAGGAGCAGGTAGCAACTGGTGTATTGTCAAGAATGCAGACAGCAACCTAGATTAATCCCACTTACCTACACGTGCCTCAAAGAGAAGTGCAATCTGTCTGGCTAAGAAAGAAGCCACTTCCACAGGGTGATTCAGAGACGAGTGGGTTCCTAACACGGCAGGGATACCAAAAAGGATCCATCCAGGCTTTCTGCCCCTCCATAGGCAAGAAGAGAGGCAGCAGCACATACAGACAAGATGAAGCCAGCTTAGGGATTGCCACTGTGCCCACCACTGCACTGGCAGTGCCAGGACTTAGCTTCTCAAGCAAACAGGCAGGCATGCAAGTGGGCTGACTGAAGCCTTTGCTGCAATGGGTTCATTGCTATCAGGGCTCTGCACAGTTCACTGTTTCAGCTAGACTTGCAGGACAGGAAAGCTACAATGCCTTGCAGAACAGGAATCAGCTATAGCTAACATGCATGACTATGGGCATTATCCTGCTTTGATTCTTTGAGCAAAATACTGTGGACTTCTTGGTAGTTTTGAAAAAGCTGTCCCTTTACTTTACTGCTACATGGGCACCCAAAGGAAAGGTTTTAGCAGATGCCAAACTCAGCTGGCTGAAACCTTGCTTGTTAGCATGCCTGGGAGACAGTGGCAAAGCTGCTTCTCAGGAAGTCAGTCCCAGATTGTGCCATTAACTCAGAGCAAGGTACAGTAGCCATGCCAGTCACACAGTGGGACAAAAGGAGGTTAGTAGCCAGCCTGCTCTGTAACCAAATACGATGCATAACAGCTGAGAGGACATGGACTGTGATAGGATTTAATTCTGCAGTTTCCAGCTCCTATGGGAAGATACTATACGCCCCTTAATTTCCAAAATAGTTTTTAATTTGGCACTTGTTCTCTCAGACCTATGAGGGAGAAGGGGTAAGAGATGTTCTTTACTCTGATACCTTTGTGCTATTACATGATCTTTCTTCCTGACATTTTTATTCTCTCAGATCACAGATTGACCCTCCAAATTTGCTAGAGATGACTGTGCACTCACAGTTCTTAGGAAGGAGAGCTTTCACAGTGATTCAGTGCTGCAGCTCACTTGTAGTGGCCTCCCAGACCACCTCTATCCAGCTGTGTCTCTGGAGTAGCAGCTTTACGTCACTGATTTATGGCTATATTAAATATATTTTGAAGGCATTTCAGTATTTTGTTAGAAGCATAACTTTCTACTTGTAGATGAAAACTTGATCTCTCTTAAGACAGCAAGCAGAAACCTTTGATGGGTAGAGGGAGCTTCCCACTAGGAAACCATATGGAAATTTTAAAATTCACTGTAAGCTTTGAGTGGAAGAGGAACATATAGACCATGATGAACTGCAAAGGAGGACACAGCCTGTAAATGGGGCAGGCTGTTGCTGAAGAAGGAGGTACTGACCTGTGAAAAAGTCAGATAAAAACTCAGAATATAAGATATACCTCTGATAACGTGGTTTTAGATAGAGTTGCCTGCTTAATTTTTAGTTTTGATAGAAATGAGATTGCTGTGTGGTTATTTCCCATGCTATCAATATGAAATAGGAAATTTAGTGAACTATGGCTTAGGGCTGCTGAGGAACGGTTGGTGTTTCATTAGTATTAAGTATGATTGCAGAAACAAGTCTGAAATTGAAGGCTGTGCTAGGAAAGGAGTGAAACAAAGTGAAATACAAACAAAAATATTGCCATGAGTTAAACAGAAAGATAGAAAGGATATGTGTTCTTTTCAAAAAGTTGAGGAAATCAGCTTCCTCCACTTTTTCCGATTATTCAAAATTTAATCTAATACTGAACAAAATTTCTTCTACTTAACGAAACCATAGAACATTTGCAATGCCATCATCATGGCTGAAACGTATCCTTAATGGTAATTTAAGTCACTTTTACAGATCTTTCAGCTGCTCTTGAACCTCATCTATTTTCAGGAGCAATCTGCTTATCTTGGACACCTCAAAATGGCAGAAATCAATGTGTCATTATGCTGTAAAAACAACTGAAAAGCAAAACCTTGAACTTGATAAGGAAACTATAACCTTCCTTTATGTTCACAACTTTGCCTTCCACAAAACATAATTGCAAGAGAGAATTTAAGAACTTTATCTTAGAAATACTCTTTACTCCAGGCAGATTTAGCTCACAGATCTTCTATTACATTCTTCCACTAAGAAAATATTAGGAAAAAAAAAATAAGGAACAATAGGAAGATCTCCGGCATTAACCTCAATGCTAGAAAAGTGTTCACATATGAGAAACAGACCTCTAAGGGCCACACAGAGAGAAATATATTTATACTTAATAATCATTCATCCAAAAAGCAAACCACAGAACTGCAGCAAAACACTTGTTGAAAAATGACATTCAAGAATGTTGAGAAAGAGGTTTGAAATGGGGAATAAAATGTATGTTGAGGGAAACAGTGATGGACATTAAGAAAAAAAACAAACAGCAAACAAAAAAAGTTTGAAAATATTTTTTTAATCTGTGAGTGTAACTCTCTTTTCAACCCTACCCAGCCAGTCCCACCTCAGTCTGGCAGCTGAGATAGTTGGACCAAAACTTTATACTGGGACAGAGAGGGATATGGTAAGTTAGGAAAAGAAAGTGCAAGGCTAAACCTTGAACAGAAAGGTTAATACTTCCACCACTTTTTCAATTACAGAACTGCAGATTTTCACTTCTGGGATTTTTGATTCATCATATAAAGCATAAATTTATGTTTCACCATATGTACTTTGTTCTTCCACGACGAATCTACAAGATTTTTTAGAGCTTTTCATTGTGCTAACAGTATGCTCCCAGAAGAAAACTGATATATCTTTTTCTTCCCCACATATTGGAGAAAATCACAGCTCTGCAGTTTAACTCACTGAAGGAGAGTCTTTATTCAGCAAAATGAGTGTGCTGATCTACCCAGACCTCGGTGCCAGACAGGAACATAGTAGAATACATATAAAATGACACAAACCCCCCTTTGGAACTGTGTTTTGTACCTGAGGTAGCACTGCTGGTCCTTGTCCTGCCAACCTCTGCAAGGAGCTGACCTGAGGAACCTTAATGGGCACTGCAGTGATAGTTCCCAAAGTCTGTTGGAAGAAAAACAATTGAACACAGTTTAAAACACTTGCACAGCTTCCCCAGATAGAATCTGCCTGGCACAGTGGTTCTCCTTCCAGCTCTTTGTTTGTCTGTTCCCAGCTTAAGATAGAAGGGTATAATACATCAGTATATTTAAAGCTTTTGCACTTTTCTGCCTAACATGTCAGAGACTTTCCCAATTAGTTAATCTTCTCTATGAAGCGCTGTTAACTAAAGCTGTTGTCTCCTTAAGAGCATTGGGTAATTCTGAGTGCAAAGAATACATCTCATTGTTGTGAAGATTTTTTTGGTATACAAAGACAATAGAAGTGTGCTGCCAAGGCTGAAGGCTGTCTACGCACCAGATTGTTCTCAGAAGAAATATGAAGGTGAAACGCACCACAGTGAAACTTCAAGATGTGCATTGGTAAGATGATGCACTTCATGGTAGCCAGGGGTCACAAGAGAAGTTCACTGTGTCATACTAAAAGTAAACACTGAATTATTAAAACTGAAAGCTACCTATAAATCTACTACAGCCCACTGTAACATAACATTCCCTGGAAACACTAGGTGCACCACAACTTCTCCTGGGCTGCACGTACACCCTCTACAGAAAGTTAAAACGAGAAGCACTTCCTTCTGGAAGGTCACGCTTACACCGTGGGTGCACCTCTTGTCAGTTTTATGTATGCTATCTCTGACCTGGAAAGCACATCTTCTGATACTCCTATTCCTACTGATACAAATGGATTTGCAAGGATTTTCAAACTGGCCAACAGAGTACCATGGATTAAAATCCAAAGTGCAGACGCTGGAGTGAAATTGGGAATTGATAATAAAGATAAGATTCAAATTACTTAGAAATTAGATAAGATACACAAAAACTCCATGTCTGAGCAACAAATCTCTTTTATGTACTAGAAATATCAAAAGGAAAAAAACACACAACAAAACAAACAAACAAAAACTAACCAAACAACAAAAACTCCTGCCTAGAACAGAACACCTTGGTCCTGAGATGAAGGAGCTCATCCTAGCCTCTGGGTGCATAGCTGGGGAAATTCTGGTTTATGTTTCCAAACACTGCATGAGTGAGCCAAAAGGAATAGGAATGAGAGAAGAAACAAGAAATGCCATAAAACTGTTCTGCACTGTTTTCTTAGCTTCACCTGAACACAAAGCCTGGATGTATTTATTGTCTGTGGGTATCAGAGAAACTAACTATTTTAAGTTCTCTCACCTGCACTCTCAAAAAATTCCTCAGATTTGTTTTCCTGAAGTAGGAGTTCTAGAGTGATCCCGAGAGGAAAAAAAAATAATCAAATTATGGCATTCTTAGGTCATGAAATTTTCGGTGACAAAGACACAGCCTCCTGTTTACAAATGGTTTTATAGTAAGGATCTGTTGCTTAATATTCATGGAAACAATCTCAGTGAAGAAATCATATGGCCAAGGGAAAATTCAAAACTTTGATCTGACATTAATAATAGCACTATAGTATGTTGAGGCAGAGAGATATCTAACAATCCATTTTACTTTTCACTATTTACATGGGTTTGTTATTGTTTCCCAGCTTGGACAATAAATAGTTCAAGCTGTTGTATCAGCAGAATCCAATGACAGAAACCTCTGCACTTTTCCTGTAACACATTTCATCTGTTATCTCAGGGAACTTCACCCAGGTCAGTGTTATTGTCTCTGCTTTAGTGATGAAAAAAAATATCAAGATTTAGAGATAAAATAATGTTGGCAGGCCTAGGCTATTGTACAGCTGTAAGTGCAAGCCAGACTTCGTAGTTCTAGTATCTCAGTCATATGATTGATTAACTTCATCTGTTGGTGTAGAGTCAAATGTGAGTCACCTGATTTTTAGGTCAGATTTTAATTATCAGACCAGGATGTCTCCATGATGATGGGCAAAAGAAGTAAAGCTTAAAACAGAGAGAATCACAGTTGCAATCCCTGTAATGAAGGAGGTGCAGGTGCTAGAATGGACGGTTGGACAGTTTGGCTCTGGGTACATTTTTCAGTGCATTTCAGAGCACTGTTTTGTTCCAGTTTAAGTGATAAATAAACAAGTAGATAAAATCATTTGCCTGGCAAATAAAGAAGTAAATGTCCTTATCTGATGTTCTTGGCCAGGCAATAAGAACTGGACAAACTCCCCATGGCTCAGGCTATGACAGGAAGAATACTGCACACACTCACTTTAATACTTCAGTTCTAACTGGGTCCTTAGCTCAAGCCCATGGGCAGTAAGAGTTGAGTAATCAAGATACCTACTTCCCAAAAAGGGAAATAAACTTCTTTTTACTCTTGTTAACAGTGCCACACATGTTCACTCACAATCTGTCCCAGGTTGCCACAGTGAGCCTAGTGAATCAAAGACTTGTCATTCACTAATTCCACACTGTTATTTTCATCCATGTGGGCCTTTTTTTTTTCCTCCTTCCTTTTTTCCAATTTGTCCAAAGAGCAAGCTAGTGCACATTCTTATAAACCTTTAATTAACAAGCTGAAAAGACATTTTTCTGGCAATGCCTGACCTTTAAGCACTTTGTATGAATTTATTGATACCAGCAGAAACAATAATTTAAAAGGTTATTTTATGAGTGCTGAATAGTTTATGGCAGCACTTTTGTCAAGATAAATGAATTTCTTATTTCTACATTTACAGCTCTAAGCATTTTAATAAAAAAGGTCCATAAAAGTCAAAGATAACTCCCAATCTCTCCTCTATCTAAGTCTACTGGGCTTTTCTGGTGGCCCCCTGAAACACCTACAATGTGGAAGGAGCACTGAAATGTGCAGTGATGGGAGAAAGTGAGGAAGCAAGTTTCAGTTTGACCCAGGATTGTTTTGCTTTGATTCTATGCATTTATACCAGATTTACTATTTTTCTGCTGAGATTTCTTTTCCAAATAAAAACAAATACATCAGGTGTATTTCCTACTGTCTAACTCACTAAACTTTACATTGAGAAGCACTGCTTATCCCCGGCAAGGACTGGGGAGCTCATGGCCCCTTGGTAACTCCTAGCACAAGCACTAGCCCCAGCCCTGGACTGGAACAGAAACCTCAGCTACTGCATCACCCCCTTTAGAAGTTAATGGCTAATGAACATATATAACTGCAACACAAAGCACTTCCAAACCCCTGTCTTCAGTGACCTGCACAGAGCAAAGAAGTATCTGGCATCTAAGGGGCACCTTTTTTTGCTTGAGCAACCCACATATGACCTTGGATAGAAATCACAGCAGGCCCACTGTGTAGGTGACCTGCAAACTCAGTTTTTGGGTGAATGTCATCCAGTAGCATGCTCCAAAGGATCATGTTTTGAATTACAAAAACACAAGAAGATATGCAATTGAAATAATCTTTTTAAGTGGTCAGTTTACTCACTAAGAAAATAACAATTTAAAATAATAATTTTTAAAAAGAAAACCAGCCCAAAAGCCCCAATCCAGGAGGACACAGTTGCACTAAAAGACAAAAAAAAGACAATTCCTCCTATGTAATCAAAATAATCAGATTTAGAAGATACAGCCAAGTGCAGTTACAAAAGAAAAACACTATATTTGCTTTGAATTACAAATTCCTCCCCCCTCTCATTTGGATGTACTAACAAATGCTTAAGGACCTGTTCCTACATTTCATTATGCCTACAAACTCATTGTTGAGCTTGGGTACATGAGCAGTTTCGGATTAGACCACAAGCACAAAACTGTTAGGGGATACAACTCACCTCCCATTCCAGAATTAGACCAGTACAGAAAAAAAATCACTCAAGTCAATCACTGAAAAGAATCAGACTCAAGGAGTAACAGAAGGTTAAAAAGCCATATAGTTTCAAAAGCCTTTCACTACAGCATGTTACCAAAATAAATACTTATCTCAGGAACATATGGGTTTGTTTTATCTTAGCAGAACAGTTCAATTATTTGAGTTCAACTGACACTGCATTGCTGTCTTATTTGCAAACTATTTTATACTGACATTAATACTGAAGCACAAATACTGTGTTCTTACAATGTATTAGAGGAACACTAATCTTTTTCTTTTTAAAGTACATATGCATCTCTCTAAGATCTAGATCTTCGTGTTGCAAATAAGACACCTAAGCTATTAAAAATGTTTTTGTCTGTTTTGTGTTCAATATTGGCAACAACAGTTTTACAGAATGGATTTTTAATGTGGTAGTGACAGGGGAACAGATTGCTATGGCAACAGCAAAGATGAAAATTCTTAACCTGAATGGATCGTCACTGAAGTAATTGCAGGGGTTTTTTTACCCATTCTACATCCATTTCACAACTTGAATGCTGCATTCAACCTTGAGCTTGCTTTATATAAATGCCAAGCACTATATGCAACCTCCAAGTTCATTTGACTTAAAACTTGCTGCAGCTTACCTCAATAATCCAGGATAGTTGCTGTCCTCTAGCTAACCTAAACATCTGAATGCTGTTGTTTTTCCATATAGTCCACCAGCAAAAGCACTGCATGCTTGGACATAACTTTGAGGCTCCTGCAAGACTTGTATGTGTACACATATTTTCTTGCCTTCCAGACTTAACTTCTGTAAAAACCTGTGGAAATCGTACTTCATTTCCAAAAAGATTAAAATTCTGTGAATGGTATTTATACTAATCTGGTGGAAGAATGGCATAGTTCGGTTTCACACTCAGATTGTATCCAAAGAGACTGCACTTCAAGCATATATTTTGTGTAAGCAGTAATTTAATTGGAATTTCACAGAAATTTAAGGATTTCTCTTCCAGCTTTTAGGAGTGTTTGTTTTCCTCACTTCTTTTCTCTTTCCTCAGAATTCATTAATCATGCTCTCGCGTGCACATTTATTACTACTATGAAGTAGACAATTAGAAACACAACAAGTCCTGCTGCCTTTTTTTTTTTTTTAAATAACACTATTTTTTAAACAATCCTTTTCCTGGGCATTTAAAATACCATTTTAACCAGCCCTCATTATAGCAAATTAACAAT